TTCACAACTCAGCTAATAATGCATGTATCCACTTCAGAATTTGTATTTATATTAGTTTTTACACGGCTAATACATTTGCATGCTCAATTGTAAAATTGTAAACAAAAAGTTCACAACTCAGATAATAGTGCATATATCCACTTCAGAATTTGTAATTATATTAGTTTTTACATGGCTAATACATTTGCATACTCAATTGTAAATTTGTAAACAAAAAGTTCACAACTCAGCTAATAATGCATGTATCCACGTCAGAATTTGTACTTATATTAGTTTTTACACGGCTAATACATTTGCATACTCAATTGTAAAATTGTAAACAAAAAGTTCACAACTCAGCTAATAATGCATGTATCCACTTCAGAATTTGTATTTATATTAGTTTTTACACGGCTAATACATTTGCATGCTCAATTGTAAATTTGTAAACAAAAAGTTCACAACTCAGATAATAGTGCATATATCCACTTCAGAATTTGTAATTATATTAGTTTTTACATGGCTAATACATTTGCATACTCAATTGTAAATTTGTAAACAAAAAGTTCACAACTCAGCTAATAATGCATGTATCCACTTCAGAATTTGTATTTATATTAGTTTTTACACGGCTAATACATTTGCATACTCAATTGTATAATTTGTAAACAAAAAGTTCACAACTCAGCTAATAATGCATATATCCACTTCAGAATTTGTAATTATATTAGTTTTTACACGGCTTATACATTTGCATACTCAATTGTAAAATTGTAAACAAAAAAGTTCACAACTCAGCTAATAATGCATGTATCCACTTCAGAATTTGTATTTATATTAGTTTTTACACGGCTAATACATTTGCATACTCAATTGTAAATTTGTAAACAAAAAGTTCACAGCTCAGCTAATAATGCCTGTATCCACGTCAGAATTTGTACTTATATTAGTTTTTACAGGGCTAATACATTTGCATACTCAATTGTAAATTTGTAAACAAAAAGTTCACAACTCAGCTAATAATGTGTATGCCAGAATTTGTATTTATATTAGTTTTTAAACGGCTAATACATTTGCATACTCAATTGTAAATTTGTAAACAAAAAGTTCACAACTCAGCTAATAATGCATGTATCCACTTCAGAATTTGTACTTATATTAGTTTTTACACGGCTAATACATTTGCATGCTCAATTGTAAAATTTGTAAACAAAAAGTTCACAACTCAGCTAATAATGCATATATCCACTTCAGAATTTGTACTTATATTAGTTTTTACATGGCTAATACATTTGCATACTCAATTGTAAATTTGTAAACAAAAAGTTCACAACTCAGCTAATAATGCATGTATCCACGTCAGAATTTGTACTTATATTAGTTTTTACACGGCTAATACATTTGCATACTCAATTGTAAAATTTGTAAACAAAAAGTTCACAACTCAGCTAATAATGCCTGAATCCACTTCAGAATTTATATTTATATTAGTTTTTACACGGCTAATACATTTGCATACTCAATTGTAAATTTGTAAACAAAAATTTCACAACTCAGCTAATAATGCTGTATCCACGGCAGCATTTGTATTTATATTAGTTTTTAGAAGGCTAATACATTTGCATCTCAATTGTAAAATTGTAAAAAAAGTTCCAACTCAGCTAATAATGTCATGTATCCACTTCAGAATTTGTAATTATATTAGTTTTTACACGGCTAATACATTTGCATACTCAATTGTAAATTTGTAAACAAAAAGTTCACAACTCAGCTAATAATGCATGTATCCACGTCATAATTTGTACTTATATTAGTTTTTACACGGCTTATACATTTGCATACTCAATTGTAGTATACATTTGCTACCAATTGTAAATAAAAAGTTCACAACTCAGCTAATAATGCATGAATCCACTTCAGAATTTATATTTATATTAGTTTTTACACGGCTTATACATTTGCATACTCAATTGTAAATTTGTAAACAAAAATTTCACAACTCCGCTAATAATGCATGTATCCACGGCAGCATTTGTACTTATATTAGTTTTTAGAAGGCTAATACATTTGCTACTCTTAAATTTGTAAAAAAATTTCGCACTCAGCTAATAATGTCTGTATCCACTTCAGAATTTGAATTTATATTACTTTATACACGGCTTATACATTTGCATACTCAATTGTAAATTTGTAAACAAAAAGTTCACAACTCAGCTAATAATGCATTCACTTCAGAATTTGTATTTATATTAGTTTTTACACGGCTAATACATTTGCATGCTCAATTGTAAAATTTTAAACAAAAAGTTCACAACTCAGATAGTAGTGCATATATCCACTTCAGAATTTGTAATTATATTAGATTTTACATGGCTAATACATTTGCATACTCAATTGTAAATTTGTAAACAAAAAGTTCACAACTCAGCTAATAATGCATCTATCCACGGCAGAATATGTACTTATATTAGTTTTTACAAGGCTAATACATTTGCATACTCAATTGTAAATAAAAAGTTCACAACTCAGCTAATAATGCCTGAATCCACTTCAGAATTTATATTTATATTAGTTTTTACACGGCTAATACATTTGCATACTCAATTGTAAATTTGAAAACAAAAAGTTCACAACTCAGCTAATGATGCCTGAATCCACTTCAGAATTTGTATTTATATTAGTTTATACACGGCTAATACATTTGCATACTCAATTGTAAATTTGTAAACAAAAAGTTCATAACTCAGCTAATAATGCATGTATCCACGGCAGAATTTGTAATTATATTAGTTTTTAGAAGGCTAATACATTTGCATACTCAATTGTAAATTTGTAAACAAAAAGTTCACAACTCAGCTAATAATGCATGTATCCACGTCATAATTTGTACTTATATTAGTTTTTACACGGCTTATACATTTGCATACTCAATTGTAAATTTGTAAACAAAAAGTTCACAACTCAGATAATAATGCATAAATCCACTTCAGAATTTATATTTATATTAGTTTTTACACGTCTAATACATTTGCATACTCAATTGTAAATTTGTAAACAAAAATTTCACAGCTCAGCTAATAATGTCTGTATCCACTTCAGAATTTGTATTTATATTAGTTTTTACACGGCTAATACATTTGCATACTCAATTGTAAATTTGAAAACAAAAAGTTCACAACTCAGCTAATGATGCCTGAATCCACTTCAGAATTTGTATTTATATTAGTTTATACACGGCTAATACATTTGCATACTCAATTGTAAATTTGTAAACAAAAAGTTCATAACTCAGCTAATAATGCATGTATCCATGGCAGAATTTGTAATTATATTAGTTTTTACACGGCTAATACATTTGCATACTCAATTGTAAATTTGTAAACAAAAAGTTCACAACTCAGATAATAATGCATATATCCACCTCAAAATTTGTATTTATATTAGTTTTTACATGGCTAATACATTTGCATACTCAATTGTAAATTTGTAAACAAAAAGTTCATTGCTCAGCTAATAATGTCTGTACCCACTTCAGAATTTGTATTTATATTAGTTTTTACACGTCTAATACATTTGCATACTCAGCTAATAATGTCTGTATCCACTTCAGAATTTGTATTTATAATAGTTTTTACACGGCTAATACATTTGCATACTCAATTGTAAATTTGAAAACAAAAAGTTCACAACTCAGCTAATGATGCCTGAATCCACTTCAGAATTTGTATTTATATTAGTTTATACACGGCTAATACATTTGCATACTCAATTGTAAATTTGTAAACAAAAAGTTCACAACTCAGCTAATAATGCATGTATCCACGTCATAATTTGTACTTATATTAGTTTTTACACGGCTTATACATTTGCATACTCAATTGTAAATTTGTAAACAAAAAGTTCACAACTCAGATAATAATGCATATATCCACTTCAGAATTTATATTTATTTTAGTTTTTACACGTCTAATACATTTGCATACTCAGCTAATAATGTCTGTATCCACTTCAGAATTTGTATTTATAATTGAAGATGTCGGGGGCCGTGGCAAGTACAATTCCAGAAATTTCCCAATAAAAGTTGGCAGAGTTCTTGGATGATGATGAGGAGGACAAACGATCCGTCTTCTTTGGAATTTATTTTCAGAGTCGTAAAAGAGAAGTACAACTAACATGGCGACAGGCACAAAGAGATGCTCCCCTGGCGACATTGCCCCTTGTTCAGCTTGAACATTCTCCCCCCCCGCGCAAGAGGAATGCTTGCGAGCTACGAGAGGGAGCATCGTCCGGAAAGGATCCATCCCAGCGTCGTATTTTGTGCCATCGGCAAGCCGTCCTGACCCGGGAGGATACCCGGCAGCATCAGGTCAGCGTAAACGTCCGCTCCCAGCACAACCGACACTAGCGATGGGTGGAACCACCGGTCATCCGCCAATGTGACATTCTGAAACATGTCCTGCACCTTCGGGTCCAGCGGTTGCCCCGGCGTTCGTGTCTGCATCTGCTCGTCCACCAGCATCAGAAGCTGCTTGCTCATCTTGGAGGCCTTGGAGCGCATCTCGGTGGCGCACACCCGTTGGTCGCCAATGCCCGTGATGGCCAGATTAAGGGCTTTAACCAGGGAGATGTGGATGCGACTCACAGGACAGCACGGATCCACCAAGGCTCGGACATCAAACCGCTTTTGGTCGGATCCGATTAGCACGGACGCGGTCGGGAGGATGCTAACACTTGTGCGCGCCAGGATAGGCGTGCACGACCGGCTGCGGGATGGAGACATATCCATTGGCGTGGCGGGCCGCCGAGATCCGGATATAGGCGCCTGCTGGCGCTGCTGTGACTGACGCTGAGGCCGAGAATCCGAGGGTGGGTTGCGCCTTTGCCGGGGTCGCGAAGAGCGAGGCTGCCCAGTGTGGATGTGTAGCAGCGTGTGATGAGCCTCATTGCATATATGACACCTCGCTGTACTGCGGCACGACCGACCGGAATGCTCGTGTGCCAGACAGTTTGGGCAGTACTTGTTAATGAGTACCGCGCGGAGCCGCTTCACAGCCGGCAGTTGGAGAAACCGTTGGCAAACCCTCAGAGCGTGGACTCCCCTGCAGACTCGACATCGGTATACATTGCTCCCGGATGAGCGACGAGGATTTTGGTCGGTCGTTGGAGCCATTGTATACACGGATCTAAATTAAAAAAGAGATGGATAAATATGAAAAATGAAGTGTTATGGATGAGGATGAACAGACACGTGGACGGAACGACGACGTTGGATGACACAACTTAGGACTAGTACATGTCAATTGGAAGGACTAATCTATTGAGGAGTCACTATGGTCAATGGGGCCGTCCATTGGGAGGCGAATCATTTTCGCCACTGGCCGTCGGATGACGCCCCGTGCTGTAAGCACGTCTGCAACTCTGACCTTGCCGTCGGCGCCCGGACATACCAGCTGGATACGCCCAAGCCGCCATTCGTTGGCTGGCAAGCTCTCCTCCTTGATCACAACCATGTCTCCCGCTTGGAGATCTCGCGATGGGAACTTCCATTTGTTCCTTTTGTGGAGCTCCTTCAGATATTCCTCCTTCCAACGCACACAGAACTGCTGATGCAGGGCCTTCAACCTCCGCCACCGATTGATGATGGAAATAGGATTCTCCTCAATCAGAGGCTCCGATACCGCAAGAAGTGGTCCACCAATTAGAAAATGTCCGGGGCTAAGAGCCACAAGGTCGGTGGGATCTTCGGACATTGGTGAAATAGGCCTGGAGTTTAAACAGGCCTCAATTTTCGCAAGGAGGGTAGCCAGTTCTTCGAAGGTGTACTTCCCTGCTGCTGTGTACTTGTAGAAGTGAGCCTTGAAGCTTTTCACACCCGCCTCCCAGAGCCCTCCCATGTGAGGCGCACCAGGAGGGTTGAAATGCCAGGCCAAGTTCTGAAGGCTGTGTTTGGAGAGGATCAGTGTTCTGGTTGACTCTATAAAGTCTCTGGATAAGGACGTGGAGGCTCCGACAAACGTTTTCCCGTTGTCAGAGTAGACATGTTGTGGACACCCACGGCGTGCAGAAAAACGAGAGAAGGCAGCTAAAAATTTCTCTGTCGTCAAGTCGGACGTCGCTTCGAGATGGATGGCCCTGGTACTAAAGCAAACAAAAACGCAGACGTATCCCTTTGTGATTTTGCAGGCTCGACCGACATAACTCTTGATGTCAAATGGCCCCGCGAAATCCATGCCTGTATGAGTGAATGGCCTGGAGAAAGAGGATCTCGCCCGGGGCAAATCCCCCATCAACTGCCTCTGCAGGTTCTTCTTGTGGATGACACAAACTCGGCACGAGTGAATTGTGTGTTTCACCAATCTCTGAAGCTTAGAAATCCAGAATTTAGACCGAATCAGTCTCACCATTAACTGATTCCCCCCATGCAAGGATATGCGATGAGTAAACAGGGCTTGTAGTTTCGCGAATCTACATCGCGCTGGGATGATGATAGGATGTTTTTCATCATAACTAAGCATGTCAGATGCTTGTAAACGGCCGCTTGCTCTCAAGACCCCCTTTCTGTCAAGAAAGGGGTTTAGGTTAGAAATGGTACTTGAGGCTGGAATTTGCTGCTTGTTACTTAAAGCCTTATATTCGACGGGAAACTCATTCTTTTGAGTGAACACGATTAACCGCTCTTGCACGTCAGACAACTCCGCCGAAGTGAGTGCTGACGATGGGGGTATATCTTCCTTTTTGCAACTTTTCGCAAAACGGATCACGTATGCTAGAACCCGCAGCGCCCTGTCGAAGGTTGAAAAACGCTCTAGGATATCCACTGTTGACGGCACTGTGGCACTGTGACATTTAATAGGCCGTTGCTCCATCTCGGTTTCCGGATTAACCAGTGGTTCACTCGGCCACTGCTCCTGCTTGAGTGGTAGCCAAGCCGGCCCGTGCCACCAAAGTGTGCTGTCCTTAAGCTCTTGGGGCGAGACGCCTCGGCTTGCCAGATCCGCTGGATTGTCTTCGGATCGTACATGGCCCCATTTGCTTTCGTTGGTGCGCTGTTCGATCTTTGCGACCCTGTTGGCCACGAATGTCGTCCAGGTGCATGCTGGCTTGCCTAGCCATGCAAGAACTATAGTAGAGTCTGTCCAATAAAAAATCTCATAAGCTTTAGGAGGCAATTCGCAAATTACTGATGCTGCTAGCTCAGTGAGCAGCACTGCTCCGCACAACTCCAGGCGGGGTATGGAGATGGACCTGACGGGAGCCACTCTGGTCTTGGATGCCAGCAAATGGGCACAACAGCCGTCAGCCGTTTCGACTCGGACGAAAATAGCAGCCCCATACGCGTCCTGTGACGCATCGCAAAACGCATGGTACTGCACCTTGGCAGCAGGATGGAAACGCACCCACCTCGGAATACGAATTTCCCTCAGGGTCGGATACCCTTTCAAAAACTCTTGCCACTTGGTCACAAGGTCGGTGGGGAGTGGCTGATCCCAGCCTAGCTCCCGTAGCCAAATTTCCTGCATGAAAATCTTGGCTCGGATTACGAAAGGCGATAACCACCCTGCCGGGTCGAACAGTTTGGCTATTTGAGACAAAACCTCTCGTTTGGTGTAGGCAGGTTGCAGGGAGATCACCATTGGAACAAAAAAGAAACTATCGGATGTAGCTTGCCAACGGATCCCAAGAGTTTTCGCCGTGCTGGCATCTTCCAGCTCAAGGAAGTCTGCACTGACCAAATGTTCCCTCGGAATCGCTTGTAGAAGTCTCCTTTCGTTTGAGGTCCACTTGCGCAGTGGAAAACCGGCACTCTCGAGAGCCAGCCGCAGCTCTTTAATGGCTAAAACTGCCGACTGCCGAGTGTGAGCCCCTGCGAGCACATCGTCCACGTACATGAAGTTCGAAATGATGTCGCTGGCCAAAGGATATTGGCCTCGGATGTCCTGAGCCAACTGCTGAAGCACTCTGATGGCCAGGAAGGGCGCACAATTTACGCCGAAGGTAACTGTGTCGAGTTCATAGTCACAGAGCTCACCGTATTTGTTGCGGAATAAGATTCTCTGAAAGCGCGTGTGATCAGGATTGACCCGGATTTGCCGATACATCTTTGTGATGTCCGCATTAAAAACATACTTAAAGAAACGCCATTTTAGAATCTGAATAGTCAGATCGGACTGTAGTACAGGCCCCGCATGAAGGATATCATTGAGGCTGTTTCCGTTTGATGAGGGATTGGAAGCATTGAACACGACGCGAACCTTCGTCGTGGTGCTATCTGGTTTGAAGACAGCGTGATGAGGCAGATAAAAACTGCTAGAGTCGTCAGGGGAGACTTGGTGCATATGACCTAAGTCTAAGTACTCTCGAATGACTGAGTCGTACTGCTCCTTCAATGGAAGATCTTTACTTAATCGCATTTCGTTTCGGAGGTACTGAGCTAGTGCGATGGGTCTGGAATGTCCAAGCTTAATATTGTCCGGCTCTTTAAAGGGCAACGAAACAACATATCTTCCATCCTCACTTCTTTTGGTGGATCGGATAAAGTTCTCCTCGCAAACCGAGGTGGATTCCTTAACCAGCTTCACTGGAACATCCTCCACCTCCCAAAATTTTGTGAGGATGCTGTCTAGTTTGGATTCCTTGACTGCTAATCGGGCTGAAAAGGAGCAGATTCTGCTTGTGGGACTCGCTGCAATCGGACCGCACAGAATCCACCCGAATATGGTCTCTTGACCCAGGAGTGTTCCACAAATATTGGAATGGGAGCCGCTTAGGAGGATCGATGGCAGGATATCGGCACCAATAAGCACGTCAATCTGCGAGCTTCGGAAGAAATTTGGATCTGCTAGTTGCAACGGTGGAAGATCCTTTAATGAGGCCTCTGGTAGAGTGTAGGATGGGAGATTACCAGCTAACTGGGGTAACACGTATGCACAAGTTTCAATCTGGATATGGGGCTTGACGGAAGAACCTATGATGAGTTGACACCTCTTACGAGGCTGAGCGGCAACGGAAAGGTTGACCCCCGAAACTTGGGCCTGAATGGACTCATACGGCAACTTAATTAGGTTGAACAACCGTTCTGAGATGAAGGTTGCCTCGGAACCTGAGTCAATGAGTGCCCGTGCTGAGTATTTTATGCCCAAATGGCAAACTTCTATCAATGCCGTACTCAGTAGGACCCCTTGCGTGTTAACGGCAAGAAACGTTTGCACATTCGCTTGACTCGTCGATGGAGTGGACTGTATCTGTTGCTGGGTTGCTGTGGATGGATGGGACTGTTGGTCAGGCATAACCACTGAATGGACTGGCAGAGGGCTGCTTCGATGCAGCAATTATGCGTACTGTTGCAATCCCGGAGCAGATGCGTTCTTGCGAAACAGTTTAAGCACAACTTCTGCTGTTTTACATGTTTCTCTCGATCTGCGACTGACATGCGTAAGAATAGAGGACATAATCGGACTGGATGGTTCTCCTGTGCGCAGAGTTTGCAGGATTGCGGGTTTACCGTAACTCTGTTTTCGAAGGTCTGGATCGACCGCGAGCTATTGTCAGCCCTCAGTGCCCTGGATTGAACGCTCGCGTTTGGCTTGAACTCCTCAATCGCCTCAAGCGTTCGATGACGATCTTTTAAGAAAGCCTGGAATTCAGCCCAGAGTGGAATCTCTGACTTACTTAGCAGGGACTGTTCCCAAAGAGCCAAAGTTAGTTTTGGCAACTTGGACGAGCACAGGAAAACAAGCAGGCAATCCCAATTCGTGGTCTCGACTCTTGCTAATTGTAGGGCCGTTAAACAACCTTGGATTGTGCTCTCTAAATGCTTCAAGGATTTTCCGCATTCCTGGGCAACAGAAGGCAAATTAAACAAGATCTTTAATTGGCTATTGACCAGCAGCCTCTTGTTCTCGAACCGATTCTGCAAGTTTCTCCACGCTGACTCAAAACCATCATTGGTCAACGGAGATAAGGCCACAATGGATTTGGCCTCGCCGCTCGTCTTTGCATTAAGATGGAACAGTTTTTCGACTTCTGAAAGCCGAGGATTGCATACATAGATGGCGGAAAAAAGGTCCCGAAATGTGGGCCATTGAACATAGTCACCATTGAAAACTTCGCACTCGACTGGAGGTAGGCGACATCCGCCATGAGACGGCGCCAGATTGAAGGACTGAACAGACTGTGGCGCGCGTGCATCTTCAATGATCTCATTGAGGTTTGCTGCGCACCGCTCGTAAACGGTATAACAGTAGTCATACTTGGATTGCATGACCGTTATTGTGTCTTTGCAGTTTTGACTGGTCAGCACTTCGGAGCACATCTCGTACTCCCTTTCCACCTTGTCCCAGAGGGCCCTGATCTGCTCGAGTCGAACCCTACTCGTGTGGATGGACGGACCTTGGTCAGTCGGGGTGTTGAATCTGGCTTCGAACTGACCCATCCTATCGGTTATGGTCGTGAATTTCACCAAGGCCTTGTCTCCCTCAGCTTGAGCCCTTCTTTCAGTTGCTCTAGTGACCTGGGAAGACCCGACTGATTTCGCGGCCTTTGTGGATGGTGCAGGCGGTGGAACGTCGAGCGACGTGCTCGTAGATTTACGTGGAGTGGTGGTTGCTAATGGGCTTTTGCTTCGAGAAGGATTTTCGCTTTCGGAAGGCACAGAGGATTCACTCGTTGCCCTGCCTCTGGAAGACGCCTCCGCTGTAGAAACGGTCAGAAGGGGTTTTGGTTCCTCACTGTCGCCGTTTTCCATGTTAAACTCTTGTTGGGGCCGCTGGATAAGCGCAGGAAGACAGAGTTAATCGACAAAATTATATTTATCGATTTGGGAATAAGTGCAGGGACGCTGGATAAGCTTAAATACAAATAATACTCGAAAGGGATGTTATCGATTTTAATTAGTACGGGGACGCTGGATGAAGCGTTCAAAATTTATGGTTATCGATTTTAAATCAATACAGGGACGCTGGATAACGCGTTGGCACGGATGCACTCGGTTCGAAAGATATGGGGGCGCTGGATAACGCGTAGAACAAATTAATCGAAAGAAATGCTATCGATACTCAATTAATACGGGGACGCTGGATGATGCGTTGGCACGGATGACCTCGGTTCAAAAGATATGGGGGCGCTGGATAACGCGTAGAACAAATTAATCGAAAGAAATGCTATCGATACTCAATTAATACGGGGACGCTGGATGACGCGTTGGCACGGATGAACTCGGTTCAAAGGATATGGGGGCGCTGGATAACGCGTAGAAAAAAATTAATCGTAAAAATGCTCTCGATTTTCAATTGATACGGGGACGCTGGATAACTCGTTGACTGAATTAATCGAAAAAGTTGCTAGAAATTTGAAATCAATACGAGGACGCTGGATAAAGCGTTTAAAAATTATGGTTATCGATTCGGGAAAGTGTGTGCGTTGGATAACGCGTAGAAGAAATTCGTCGAAAAAAAAAAACTGCTGTCGATTTTAAAGGAATTAAAAAAAATAAAAAATGGTCGAAAAAGGTTTTTATCGATTTGGGTACGACGGGAGGAAAAAATGTGTAGAATTAATTATTCGGGAACAAATAAATGTTCGTCGAAAATACTGTGGGGCTAGAAAGTGAAAAAGATTAATCGAAAATTGATGTGTATCGCCTTGGAAGAAATGCTTGGACGCTGGATAAAGCGTACCACAAAATAATCGGAACTGTTGTACACGGTTTGGAAAAATTAGGTTGTAAATTAGTCGAATTGAAACTCAAAACCAATAATACAAAAATGCACCCAAGTGTGAACGGCTCATCAACAGACTCAGCCGTGTATGGTAATGGTGTGGCAACCTTGGCGGCCAGTACCTACATACATATGTATTTATGCGAAATAAACAAACAAAGGAAAACTATTAAAAACGCAGATTTTTTAATTTTGTTTGTTTCACTTGGTTTGTGTTCGAATGCAGCGACACTGGTAGCCGCCGAGTCTCAATTGCCGGTCCAGCAATTTGTATGGATAGGTGCATATATGTATGCACGTATTATCGGCCAGCTGGAGGAGGGGGTTAACTTTATTTATATTTTTGTTCTGTTGTTGTGCAGTGGATGGAAAATATGTACATATGTTGTATATTTGTGGTGGATGGAATATGATCTTTATTTATTTTTCTCTCTTCTAAATGCCGCCGATTTGTGAACCAAAGGTAATGTACATATGTATGTTCATAAATCGGCAATGTTCGTACATACCTATGTGCGTATGCAAATTGTGTAAGTATGTACGTACATATATTACGGAATCGGTGTGGATGTATGGTTTTTATGTATGGAAAAAAACTGGATGTAAACCTTTTCGGATATTGGCTGATTTAGAACATAGGAGAGGGGCATATAGCCATGTAAACACATGCATATATATACATATACTACTGCCCAAGTTGGTAGTATTGTTTAAATAAATTGGATGCAGCAGTATATCTACATATATATGCATGTATGTACATACATATATGATGGGAATTTCGGCACCGTACTTATCTTGGCAAAAAAAGGCGCTGGAATATCTCGGGCGAAGGACCAAAAATGAAGATGTCGGGGGCCGTGGCAAGTACAATTCCAGAAATTTCCCAATAAAAGCTGGCAGAGTTCTTGGATGATGATGAGGAGGACAAACGATCCGTCTTCTTTGGAATTTATTTTCAGAGTCGTAAAAGAGAAGTACAACTAACATGGCGACAGGTACATTTTGCTCCCAGAGATGCTCCTCTGGCGACATTGCCCCTTGTTCAGCTTGAACAATAATAGTTTTTACACGGCTAATACATTTGCATACTCAATTGTAAATTTGAAAACAAAAAGTTCACAACTCAGCTAATGATGCCTGAATCCACTTCAGAATTTGTATTTATATTAGTTTATACACGGCTAATACATTTGCATACTCAATTGTAAATTTGTAAACAAAAAGTTCATAACTCAGCTATTAATGCATGTATCCATGGCAGAATTTGTAATTATATTAGTTTTTACACGGCTTATACATTTGCATACTCAATTGTAAATTTGTAAACAAAAAGTTCACAACTCAGATAATAATGCATATATCCACCTCAAAATTTGTATTTATATTAGTTTTTACATGGCTAATACATTTGCATACTCAATTGTAAATTTGTAAACAAAAAGTTCACATCTCAGCTAATAATGCATGTATCTACGGCAGAATTTATATTTAAATTAATTCTTACAATTCTAATACATTTGCATACTCAATTGTAAATTTGTAAACAAAAAGTTCACAACTCAGCTAATAATGCCTGAATCCACTTCAGAATTTGTATTTATATTAGTTTTTACACGGCTAATACATTTGCATACTCAATTGTAAATTTGTAAACAAAAAGTTCACAACTCAGCTAATAGTGCATATATCCACGTCAGAATTTGTAATTATATTAGTTTTTAGAAGGCTAATACATTTGCATACTCAATTGTAAATTTGTAAACAAAAAGTTCACAACTCAGCTAATAATGCATGTATCCACGTCAGAATTTGTATTTATATTAGTTTTTACAAGGCTAATACATTTGCATACTCAGGTGTAAATTTGTAAAAAAAAAAGTTCACAACTCAGATAATAATGCATGTATCCACTTCAGAATTTATATTTATATTAGTTTTTACACGGCTAATACATTTGCATCTCAATTGTAAAACTGTAAACAAAAAGTTCACAACTCAGATAATAGTGCATATATCCACTTCAGAATTTATAATTTATATTAGTTTTTACAAGGCTAATACATTTGCATACCATTTAAATTTGTAAGCAAAAGTTAACAACTCAGCTAATAATGCATGTATCCACGGCAGAATTTGTATTTATATTAGTTTTTACACGGCTTATACATTTGCATACACAATTGTAAATTTGTAAACAAAAAAGTTCACAACTCAGATAATAGTGCATATATCCACTTCAGAATTTGTAATTATATTAGTTTTTACATGGCTAAAACATTTGCATACTCAATTGTAAATTTGTAAACAAAAAGTTCACAACTCAGTTAATAATGCATGTATCCACGTCAGAATTTGTAATTATATTAGTTTTTACACGGCTTATACATTTGCATACTCAATTGTAAAATTGTACACAAAAAGTTCACAACTCAGCTAATAATGCCATGTATCCACTTCAGAATTTGTATTTATATTAGTTTTTACACGTCTAATACATTTGCATACTCAATTGTAAAATTGAAAACAAAAAGTTCACAACTCAGATAATAGTGCATATATCCACTTCAGAATTTATATTTATATTAGTTTTTACATGTCTAATACATTTGCATACTCAATTGTAAAATTGTAAACAAAAGTTCACAACTCAGCTAATAATGTCATGTATCCACTTCAGAATTTGTATTTATATTAGTTTTTACACGGCTAATACATTTGCATACTCAATTGTAAATTTGAAAACAAAAAGTTCACAGCTCAGCTAATAATGCCTGTATCCACTTCAGAATTTGTATTTATATTAGTTTTTACAGGGCTAATACATTTGCATACTCAATTGTAAATTTGTAAACAAAAAAAGGTCACAACTCAGCTAATAATGCCAGAATTTGTATTTATATTAGTTTTTAAACGGCTAATACATTTGCATGCTCAATTGTAAATTTGTAAACAAAACTTTCACAGCTCAGCTAATAATGCCTGTATCCACTTCAGAATTTGTATTTATATTAGTTTTAACACGGCTAATACATTTGCATGCTCAATTGTAAAATTGTAAACAAAAAGTTCACAACTCAGATAATAGTGCATATATCCACTTCAGAATTTGTAATTATATTAGTTTTTACATGGCTAATACATTTGCATACTCAATTGTAAATTTGTAAACAAAAAGTTCACAACTCAGCTAATAATTCATGTATCCACTTCAGAATTTATATTCATATTAGATTTTACACGGCTAATACATTTGCATGCTCAATTGTAAAATTGTAAACAAAAAGTTCACAACTCAGATAATAGTGCATATATCCACTTCAGAATTTGTAATTATATTAGTTTTTACATGGCTAATACATTTGCATACTCAATTGTAAATTTGTAAACAAAAAAGTTCACAACTCAGCTAATAATGCATGTATCCACTTCAGAATTTGTAATTATATTAGTTTTTACATGGCTAATACACTTGCATACTCAATTGTAAAATTGTAAACAAAAAGTTCACAACTCAGCTAATAATTCATGTATCCACTTCAGAATTTGTATTTATATTAGTTTTTACACGGCTAATACATTTGCATGCTCAATTGTAAATTTGTAAACAAAAAGTTCACAACTCAGATAATAGTGCATATATCCACTTCAGAATTTGTAATTATATTAGTTTTTACATGGCTAATACATTTGCATACTCAATTGTAAATTTGTAAACAAAAAGTTCACAACTCAACTAATAATTCATGTATCCACTTCAGAATTTGTATTTATATTAGTTTTTACACGGCTAATACATTTGCATGCTCAATTGTAAAATTGTAAACAAAAAGTTCACAACTCAGATAATAGTGCATATATCCACTTCAGAATTTGTAATTATATTAGTTTTTACATGGCTAATACATTTGCATACTCAATTGTAAATTTGTAAACAAAAAAGTTCACAACTCAGCTAATAATGCATGTATCCACTTCAGAATTAGTATTTATATTAGTTTTTACACGGCTAATACATTTGCATGCT